AAGAAGTTTCAAAAGAAGGAGGTCATATGTATCCTGTGCAGCTCTATCAACTTCCTTATATTCAGGCCCCCTGCCCACTCCTATAAGAGCCCTGACAGCCCCTTCCCCTTCACACAAGTTCCATTCCCATGGGGAAGTCACTGCCCCCTGCTGCTGTGCCAATAAACAGTTTCATCTGTTGAGAGCAGACTTGGGTCTCTTCCATGCCTTTTGTTCCTTACTGTCCTAACATTTTGGTGTGGAAACCCAGAGGGTCTTCTAGAATCCCTGCCCTCTGGTGGCTCCAACCCTTCTCTTAGGACCTTCTTGACTTTCTTACCCACCGTGACCATTCTTGGACTTGGGGAACACAGATACTGTCTGAACTCATTATATAGGCTAAACAGATAAGCAAACCCCCAATTAAATGCCTTAGTCATATCTCTTCACAGCAATAAAACAGGAACTAAGAGAAGCAACAATACAAATAATCAGTGAAAAAGATGGTTTCTTTAAAAGAGTGACAAATCCTTAGTTGAACCAAATGAGAGAATGAATATATAAATTAGTAAAAATAGAGTTAAAAGGGGACTTTACAAAGAAACACCAATGAAATTCTGAAATGGTTAATGAACATTTGAAAACTTATATCCACAGAATATCTAGAAGAAATGGATAATTTCCTAAGTACAGAAGACATAAACAACTTTAAAGATCTATAAAAATCAACAAGATGAAGGCACCTCCCAACAAAGAAAATTCTAGAAACAGATGGATGAAATTTTATCAGACCTGAAAAATGCTCCCCAGACTACTTGATAAAACATAAAGGAAATGCCAAACTTCTCCTGTGTGGACAATATACCTGTGTGGACAATATACCTAGTTCAGACTAAAGTTTTTAAAAAATGAAGTTTCTGTGATGAACATTATTAATAGATTATAATATAATAATAGATTAACAGATTCCAATAGTCTTTATAAATTGAATTTAATAATATATTTTAACATCATGATCAATTTGGTTTATATTAGGTATGAAAGGATGTTTCACATGTAAGGTTTGGAGTCAGAGAACATGTGATGATCTTACATGTGCAAAGCTGGCCTTTATCAAAAATGCCCTGAAGAATCTAAGACTAAAAGGAACGTATCTCACCATAAAAAAAATCTCTACAAAATAAACCTATATTCAAAATCATATTAAACTTGGAAACCTTGAAAGCATTTTTTCTCAAGTCAGGAACAACAAAACATGGACCACTCTCTCCAATCTTATTCAATATACTGAATGAAGTCTTAGCCCACTGTAGTAGGGCAAAAGAAAATGGTAAATGATAAAAAAAAACATGAAAGGAAACTGTCTAATTATTCTTAAGAACATTTGCTATAATCCTATAATTAAAAGACTCCAAACACTCCAATAGAAAATACTTAGATTTGATAAAAGCAGCAAAAAAAAAAAAATCAGAATTACAAAATAAGTGCAAACATTGGTGGCTTTTCCATGCCAATAACCATGACAATGACAAATAAATCAGAGAAACAATTCCATGTACAATAGCTCAAAAGTTAAATACCAAGGAATAGACCTAAATGAGGAAGTGAAAGACTGGAACAATCTAATTTAATAACAGTAAAGAAAGAAATTGAAGAAGACAGTAGAAGAGGAAAAGACCTCCTACATACAGGAACCAGCAAGTAAATATTAGCTGCTTTCAAATTATATCACAGAGAAATAGAAACAAAAACAGCATGTTATTGCAACAAAAAGATACATGTAAGTCACTGGAATGAAATAGACAACTTTGAAATAAGACCATATATCTAAAAATCACCTGATTATAGGTGAAAAAAGTGCCCAAAACATCCTCTTGAGAAAAGAAAATTGTTTTTAACAACTTTTTGTAGTTTTTACTAGTTTAGCAAAACTAGCCATCTAAACGTAGAGAGATTAAATTGTATCCCTCTCTTTCTTTACAAAAATCAATTCAAAGTGGATCAAAGTTCCTAACATAAGATGTGACATACTGAAACTTCTATAAGATATGAGAAACACACTTCAAGATACAGGCACAGAAAAACCTCTTTAAAACACATTCAGGAAACTATAGCAAATACTGGCAAATTAAATTGCATGAAATTAAAAAGCTTCTGCAGAGCAGTAGAAACAACAATACAGTGACATTCGACAGAATGGTAATATTTTCTAGCTATACATTTTACAGAGAATTAATATTTAGAATCTTTAAAGAACTTAAAACATGAAATACCAAGTACAGAAGCCAACACACTGATAAATGCCTAATCAACTGGACAGATCTCAAAAGAAGAAATACAAATGGCTAAAAAAATATAAATGTTTAACTTCCTTAACCATAAGAAAAAAAATAATCAAAAGTACTTTGATATGCTAAATGAAAACAAATGTTGGTGAGGATGTGAGCGAAAGGAACTCTTATAAAACACTGGAAGATTCTGAAAAAATGAAAACTAGAACTCTCTTACTTTTCACACTTATCACCCAAAGCAATCTAAATCAACACACCATAGAGATACCTGCACATTCAAGTTTCTTATGTTACTTTTCACAATAACCTTGGAATGGAATCAGCCTAGAATTCCATCAACAGATGAATGGATCCAAGAAATTAGATGTACATGTGAAATTATTACTAAGTGATAAAGTGAAACAAAATGATGCCATCTATAGATAAAAACACGGCAATGAAAATCATCAGTTTACTCAAAATCATCCAGTCTCAGGAAGATATATTACATACTTGCTCTCACAGGAAGAACCTAGATTTAATATGTAAATATATATTCATATATACACAAAGATATGCAATGACAGTAGAAAAGGGTCTGTTGGAGTGAAGGAAGGAGAACTATCTTAAGAGGCTCAAGGGACAAGAGAGGGCACTGAGCGGGAACAGAAGAAAAGGACCAAGATATACATACTAAAAATGTCATAATTCACATTTTGTATGATAATCTGTTTTTAAGGGATGTGCTGTGTAATAATCCTTCTTTACACTGTGAATATGGATTACTCTCATTGGTTAATAAAGAAGCTGACTGTCCAGTAACTAAACAGGATAAGGTTAGGTGAGAGAGCCAAACTGAGAATGCTGGGAGGAAGGGCAGAGCCTGGAGTCAGCAGCCAGACATAGAAGGAGCAGGAGGTGAATATGCCATGCTAATAAAGGTACCATCATGTTGCAGAACATAAATAAGGAATGTGGGTTAACTTAAAATATAAGAGCTAGTTAGTAATAAGTGTGAGGAATTGGCCAAGCATTTATAATTATTATTACAAATACTAATGTGAGCCTCTGAGTGAATATTTGAGAGCAACTGATGGACAGAAAAAGTCCGACTACAAATGGCACCCAATAAAGAAGCTGACTGGCCAGGATAAGGTTAGGTGAGAGAGTCAAACTGAGAATGCTGGGAGGAAGAAGAGCTGAGCCTGGAGTCCGCAGCCAGACACAGAGGGAGCCAGAGATTAATGTGCCAAGCCAATAAAGGTACCATCGTGTTGCAGAACATAAATAAGGAATATGGGTTACCTTAAAATGTAAGAGCTAGTTAGTAATAAGCCTGAGCTATTGGCAGAACATTTGTAATTAATATTAAGCCTCTGTGATTATTTGAGAATGGGTGCTGGACAGGAAAACTGTGACTACAGATAAACCCACAAAACTTGAATAAAAACAATTCCTGACCAGTACTCTTCAAACGTTTCAGGCTTATACCCCTGGATGGGACTATGGAGAAATATGACAACCACATTCAATGAAGTATCCTGAACAGGATCCTGAAATACTTCTGAAATAACATATATGTGGCAATAATTGGACTCAGTGGGTTATCAAAAACAAAAAGACACCAAGGTGAAGCTGGGAGGGGAACATGTAGGGGAGGGTATGTAGAAGGAGTTGGAAATGGGAAATGGGGGTGGGTATGATCATATTTCATTGTATACATGTAGGAAATTCTCAATAAAAAATTTATAATAAAAAGTAAAGGATAACACTGAAAAATGAAAATAAAATCTGTAATAATTCATTTCAATGCTAATCTTAGTTTTGACATTTTATGGCATAAGATGTCTCTCAGTAGAGATATCAGGGAGAACACATTTTAGAATTGTAAAATTATTTTCTAAATGTTTTAAAGATAAAAGTTAGGCATGGAGGCAAATACTTCTAACTCTCACATTCAGAATGCAAAGACAGAAAAATCATCAAGTTTCTGACAAGACTCAGCAGGAAACTGAAAAAAGTTCTAAATGCCTTTGAAACCAAAATCACACATCTCCAGTATGTATTTATATTTCAAATGTAAAAACATTTAAAAATACATATTAAATAAACTGAAAGGGAAATAAGTATCTTCACAGCTCATTTTCCTACCATTTTAAAAAGCCTGATGTATGAAAACTAATAAGACTAAGATGCAAAGAAAGAAAAAAATGTTTTTTAAGACAAGGCCTCACCATGTACCCACGCTGATGCAAAGGGGGGAAAAGTAATTTAATTTTTTTTAAAACAAGGACACACCAGGTACCCAGGCTGATGCAAATAATGATGGGTTTTTTTTTGTTTGTTATTGTTGGTTACTTGGGTTTTTCTGTTTTTGAGGGTTTTTTTTGTTGTTGTTTGTTTGGGTTTTTGTTTGTTTTTTGTCTTTTTTTTTCTAAGACTTCACCGTGTATCCAGGCTGAGGCAGAACTTGAAACCTACTTGTTTCAACCTCTAATATGCCACCACACCCAGTTAATAAATACAAATTATTAAATAAGAAGTTAAAGGATAGTGCGAAGTATTTTAGAAAAAGAATCTGAAGCAATTGGTCACAGAATAAAAGCGACTCACACCTCAGGAATTAATGCAATGAGCGAGCGATGCGGATTCTGAAGCGAACATGGCGGAAGCGAAGCCTCGAGCGAACAACGCCACACTGTGAAGAAATCCAGGGAAACTGGCGGTTAATCCCACAACAGGTTCAATTTTAAAAAAGAAACTTCTGCCATTTATTTACCTGAGCGGGAGAGTGGGATGAATCTTCCGACTTTTTCACCCCCTCAGGCGCGGCAGCTGTGACCTCCAGACCAGAGCGCGATCTTCGAAAAGTCATGTGAGG